GAATGACATTCATCAATACAATCTGCCACTTGCCTACTCAGACTCATGACAATTGATCCCATGTGCAAGAAGTATGAAAATGCACATGCCCCTCTGCTATGTGTATAAGACTGTGTATCACTTTAGTAACCTTTCTCGAGGTTCATGAGAACCCAAAGCCTCTTAACATCAAGAGACGTAACAGTCAGAGATGACTATCTTTCAACAGAAACAAAACAGGGTTCTTCAAAGATCGGATAACCTGAAAGATGTCTTCTCCCATACAAGGCTGCCCAGTTGGTAAATCTTCTGAAAAGGCCCTATCAGACTACTCCCTTCAGAGGCATCTTCAGTGCTAGCCCAGGAGAGAAACTTTTCAAAAGCCATTCCGAACTATGGGAATTTGTGTTGCTATTTTAATAATACTTTTATTGTTATGTTTTTGTTGTATTATAATGCATTGTTTTAACACATTTTAATCATTCATGTCAGCTGTCTTGAGTGCCATTTTTAGTTAATAATGCAAACAAAAAACAAACAAACAAAGCAATACTACTTCTTCCAAGTATACTGTTGTTCTATAATATAGAGGATTCTGCACAGAAAAACATGAGATGGATGCCCATCCAACCAGTTTCTTATAAGATGGGCTTAATTCAAGCCAATTCAAGGATGTAAATAGCTTTGTATCAATTCATATATGGAAGATTTCATATTAGCCAAGATGACCGATAAGTGGTTGAGCTGAGTTGCTGTCAATTTGTGAGAAGGAAAGTTGTATGTATTAGTAATACACAAGAGTCGGGAAATCAAAGCACTGCTTATGTTTATTTAAGATTAATCAGAAAAGGAATAACCATGAGTCCTATAAACCACAAGCCTAGTAAATGATTCTTTCCCTTAGTACTGTCACACAGACACTGTTGGGTTTTGTAAAATCACTGACAAAAATGGATTTTGCATGAATTTGAACTTATGAAAAATCACACTTCCAAAAATATGCTAATACACATTTTCATGAGTAAGTCTTGGGTGGGGAGAGAGAAATGCACATATTGATTCCTTATTTTTCTGTGGCTAAATTTGTGTAAGATTCTGAAGTTTTAAAAAATTGCCCTCAAGTCTACAGAATTCAAGCAACTCAGGAAAAACCTATCCACATGTTGCATTCCTAGCAGTTCCAACTCATATAAATCTATTGCAAATTTCTCCAGTATCCCTAATGTAACCCATGTCGGTGATAGTTAAGTAAAACAGGGAATAATTACTACAAACTAGTTAATATGTTCTCTCAAACATTTAACAGTTTTAACTTTGAAGCAGTATTAGAAGGATTTTTAATTCTAAAACACCTGACTAGAAGAATCTACTTCATTGTTTTCATTAGTCATCAGGCCGAATTTGGTAAGGAGTCAGCTTGTTGGAAAAAAAAATTCTGTTCATAATATTAACCTTTAAAACAAGCCTGAATTGATGTGTACAAAATCACTACTGAGTTTGGAACTGAATGAGAATAGGCAGCAAAGCAGGTCTCCTTCCTGAGTTTGGGGAGAATCTAGGGCTGTAACTTAGACTTTCTAAAATGAAACAATCTAATGATCAGCTTCCCTCACCAGCACCATAACTCCAGCCCTTGAGGGAGGAGAACTATACAGAGCCCTTCACAGCAGTAATGGGCATGGCATCACATGCCTCCTAGTACTGCAGATCAAGCAGTTTTTTTAATAGACAAGTTGCTGGAGAAGGTGACAGGAAACTGGCAGAAAGGTAGCATAAAGCTGTGATGCATGAGAGCATGTCACGCTACACAATTCCAAACTGCAGCTTCCAAGATGCACTCTGATACTGTGCATGTTGAAAATCTTACATATACTGAACGGGATGTCATATTAAAGGAGAACAACCTTGCCTAAACTCACACAGACAAGTTTGTTATTTCCAAAATAAAATATCTCAGGGGAAGTTGACCCAACTAATTGTTACTTTACATGATGTGCTAGTTGTGTTTATTTTTCTGTGCATATTTCTATTATTACATCATATAAGCGAAAATCCATATTTCACCTCTTGATTTCTCAGTACACCTGCTCACACCTGCTAAGTTCTCTTCTCTAAGTTCTCTGTTATCTAAAATGCAGGCAGTCCCCAAGTTACGAATGTCCAAGTTACAAACAATCCATATTTACAAACAAATTGTCATAGAGTCTATTAATTTTTAAGAGCATTACTGTAGGAAATCATCATCACCATAGAGCAAAAGGAAAGTGAGAGAGGGCCTCCAACACATCATATATATAGGGAGGGAGGGAGGGAGGAAGTAGATGGGTAGAGAGGGAAGCCTCCAAAGCAGGGCTTCCTGCCCTGCCCATCCACAGAGGGAAATCTCTCCAATATTTCCTTGCTGCAAAGAGGACATGCTGGTGAGTTTGGCTGGGGTAGGACAGTTAGCGATATCAGCAGTTTTTCCACTTGCACAGGGTCCTGTGCCCCTGACCCCAGCAAATGTGGAGGGTTAACTATACACAATCTGACTTACATACAAATTCTGCTTAAAGACACACTTCCACAATCTCAGGAATGGAACTTGTTTGTAAACCAGAGACTGCCTGTATAGCGGAAACAGCAATTCCTATGCCCCAGCATCCTCAGTGAAGGATATATCCAAGTAAGGTTCATGGCCAACTGTCTCAACCTAGTCTAACTTTCTTCCTATGGATATCCTTTAGTTACTTATAAAGAAAAGACCTTGCCACACAGACTAAATACCACTCCTTTGTTCATGCTGACCTTCTATTTCTCATTAAATACAAATGTCTGTGGATTTTAAAAGCACAAATCAGAAGTCTGTCTTTAAGATAGTTGTTCTACCCTAAAATGCAATCCCTGTATGGTTCCAAAGCCACAGTAAATGCATGACCATCCACCCTGGAAACTACAAAACCCTCTGTAGCAAGGCCATCTCAAACTTCAACTTGGGATCTATTAAACCATCCTAAGTGCTACTTTTAAGTTTCCATGATAGGCATTTTAATAATTTTTATCTAGCAGAAATTTAACAGGTACAAACTCATTTACCTGCAGTTTCATGAATAGAAAACATGTAACTACTACAAGGTCCTCAGATGGTTGTACAAGATCAAGGACTTTGCTAAGTCCAAAAGATGGCAACCATCAGGGTAAAGTTTCTGCCTTCTTTTTCACAGTTAAAGCTCAAACGTATTTAACAGCCATATTTATTTACTGCAGCCCTCTTTATTAAAAGTGTTTGTATGCCATCCTTTATATAAATCTCAGGGTGGCTTACAGCAATTTACAGCATATACCATAACAGAAATCAACAGGTGAAGCATTTCCAACCAACGCATCTCCAGAAAGAAACTATATCACTGAATGTCAGGAAAAGTGGCAGATAACCATACTATGCAGCCTGGCCCACACCTGTCAACCCAAAGGAAAAGTATCTTCGCTATGATTCTCCAAGGGCCTAGTTAGCAGACTCTTTAATTGACCTATACCTTGGTCTAACTGCAGCCTGACATACAGGAATGGTTCTTCTAGCATGGAAATACCAGGAACAGCTTCAACAACTTGGTTTCTTCAGAAAAAAGCAACACTAGCTTGCTGCAGGGCAAAACCAAAAAAAGAATCTTTGTCTGGCACGGTAAATCCAAGTAGCAACTTAACCAAAGAAACAATCTATCACCCAGACAAGTTCCTGTCACAGTAACATTTGTCAATCTAAGTATCAACAAACACCCGGTATTTGTTTCCCTATCTATTGTTTGTGTATATTATTGGGCTACTGTTTAACTTGAGGGAAAAGACTACTAAAGCGTTGCCAGCCCTACATAGCTCTCTTGAAAAAACTGTTTCAGGTGCTCCCTCCCCTTTAGTCTCAAACTGTTCTCTCTTAACAGCAATTGCACTTCCAGCAGTGAATAAGTGAGTATCTTCAAGCTAAGAATAGCATTACCTGCTGATTTCTGCTTCTCAAACCTGTGTGTGGATCCAGTTACAGCATTCACAGACATTTAGAACCAGTTTGTTGTGGTTGTTCTGTGCTTTGCTGAATGCTGGACGAGGACAAAGAAGACCCCTCTTCGAGTCCCTGCTCAACCATGAAGTGCACTGAGTAAGCCTGGGCCATTCTCCCAGCCTAGCCTACCTACATTGCAGGGTTATTGTGAGATCGCAATGGAGGAGAAAAGCTGTGCTAGCCAACTCACGAAGGCAGGATACAAACTATAAATGCAATAATTAAAGAACAGAACTGGAAATCCAAGCCTACATGACCCCCCCTCCCCAGAGCCTTCCTGGCTGACGGGGAAGGATATAACTCCAATAAATAAATACATGTGTATAATAGCAAATACCAGTCTCTCCCTCTCTTGAACCCATCTCTTGAGAAAACTGGTTCAAGATGGCTAACTTACGAACTGGCTCCAAAAACTGTCCCCATGCCCACGACCTGGAGCAACCAATGGCTGAGGCTGCTCCATCTCCATGACAGCAGAAGCTTGCTGCCTTCTCAAACTTCTCGAGCGCACTCCCCGCGGTGCAACAGCAGGCCACTCTGCAGCCCAGGCCCTGGAGCAAGACTCCGTGGGAAAGGCCCGGCAGAGGAGCTGACCAGCCACACCTGTGCAGCGGGGCAGGCGCCCCAGGTCACGGAGAGACGCCGGCCGCGCGCGCGGATCTCGTCGGCCATCCATCCAAGCCACCCTCGGCTTGCTAGGGCTGCCTGGAGCTCTTCCTGCCCATTTCCCACCCTGGTCCTAGCATTAGCTCGGAGAGCCGCACCGCTGCCATCTCCGGAAGCGCCACCGTAGCCCCCAGGGGAGCACTGCCAATTCCTACGTCCTCTCGCCACGCCAAACCGGCAATCGCCACTTCTGAAGCTTGCAGGAGCCGCGCCCACGCCCTGCAGAGCCCCGCGGGCCGGATCGGGGCGTCTCTCCCCGGATTCCGCCCCACGTCCCCCTCCCGCTGCAACCCCGGCCGGGCCCACGCCGCTCACTCACCAGCTTGGGTTTATTCTTGCTCTCGTCCTCGGGGACGCGCCCGCCGCCGCCAACGCCGCCGCCGCCGCCGCGCCGGGAGTTCATCTTACCCGGCACTTCCTCCCCGCCACTAGCCCCCGGGTGCTCCATGCCGCCGCCGCGCGCCCCTCGCCTCTTCCGCAGCGCCTCTCAAGCCGCCCCCATGGGCGCGATATCGGGCCGCCGCACGACGCTTTTGCTCGCCGCCTCGCCCGCTCAGGCTGTCAGGGGCTCGGCTCTGCGCATGCTGGCCGGGCGACTGCGCAGGCGCGCCCCACACCGCTCGGAAGACCAGAAGAGGGGAAGTCGGCGAGAGACGCCGGGGCGCGCGGGCGCGCACACGCACACACGCACACACAGAGACAGGCGCGCCCTTGCGCTCGCTGGAAAGCCGCCGCATGCGCGCTCCGCTCCTGGCACATGCAAGCGCCAGGGAGCCCCCGCCGCTGGTTCTCCGGGGCTGAGCCGGACGCGAGTTCGGAAGCGGAAGTGGGAAGAGTGAGGGTGGTGAGAAGCAGAAGGAAACCCTGGCGGAAGTGCGTGCTGGATCAAAGAGAAAGGCGCGTTGCGGGGAATGAGAGACCAGGCTGGAAAGGGCGGATTAGGGAGGAGGAGGAAAGAGAGAGACCTGCGTGCTCAGGTTTTGTGGTTGTCTTGAGGATCGGGGCTAAACTGCAGCGTAAATGGGCATGCAAGTTATTCCTTGGCTTTTTTGCCACCCGCCACCCCACCCGGTACATAAATGTTACTCTTTGCAGTGCCACAAGATACTTTGTTAATTTTGCTACAGTTACTACTACAACAAAGCTACTCGTCTGAATGTTTTTCCTGTGACAGGTGAAAGAAGAACCACTGGGGCAACTCCGAGTGTTCCCCAACCAGCATGATGATGACGATGACGATGACGACGATGATGATGATGATGTTACCATTTCTGTACCACCCGTGGACAAAACTCTCTGGGTGGTTCACACTGTATAAGTTTTGTATGCATCAATATATGTGCCATTGTTATACTGTTCCAACATTTGTATTTACTTGTTTTACACAATATTCATGGAGGTTCATATTTTCTTTAACTTTTGCTTTTGTTTATGGTGTTCAGTAAGGGCTATTTTTGCTTTGTTTATTCAGCTTCACTGCATTAAACTATCAGAGTATAAACAGATCCTCTTGCCAGAGAGCCAGATTCAAATAATCCTAACTAGCTAAAAAGATGTCCAACATGCAAATACAGTGAACATCACAGTTACTCACGGATGCCTGCTGGAAGTCGAACCCTTTTGCTTTGCCATGTGTCTCCTAAGAGCTAGTGAAATGTGGTGCAGTTGTGATTACACATTCATGAGAAAAAGACATTACAATGCACAGAGTCATATGCATTATTATTGGGCAAGCAACTGAGAGGGGTGTTCAAACTATGTTTCAGAAAATCTGTTTGCCTGATACAATGTTAGCTGAAAGGAAAATGCATGTGTTGTATTATTAATAAAGATCCTCCCAGTAGGAACAATATGTAGCAGCTGATGCCAGCTGGAACAATGAATAGAAGATCAAACTGCTTCAGGTTGTAACTTTAACTGACTCAGTAGGGACTCTGACTTTGGTGTGAACTGGAACTCTACAGTTTGGGGTGAATTGGTTCTATATCAGGGTGAATTTACTTTTTAAATTTATTTATTAGATTTATATCCCACCTTTTTCCTTTTTAAAGAACTCATAGGAACTTACATCATTACAATGCCAAGATGAATTCAAGCACATGTTTTCCATTGTCTGATTCACATGTTTCCTCAACCAACATGGACGTAAAACACAAGTATCTGCCCCTGGTCCTACATCAAGCATAGGCATGCCTGGGCACATCCAAGGAGGGGCCCACTTACCAGAGCCCCCTGGAGTTTTCCTCCAGCACTGCAACCTGCCTTTTGCTCTGGTGCAGTCAAATAGAATGTTAAATGCCATACAGAAAGCACATATTTCTTGATGTTTTTGTACTGCTGTGCATGTTAGAGTATGTTTTACTGAATTGTTGTAGACCACCCAGACAGCAGCATCTATTGGAGGTATGGAAGATAGCTAGAAAAGACCAATAGGCAGTGGCAAGGAGGAGGAAGAACGCACCAGCCTGCTAGCTCAGTGGCTCCCTGCTTCTCAATCAAGCAAGTGGTAGCAGTAAATGAAAAAAGGGCAAAGAGTGGCAGTAGCTGCTGCCCATGGGGGTGAGAAGGTGGAGTCACTGGGGAAGTGGGCCCATTGAGGGTATCCAGCTCAAAGGCCCTCCTGAATCTGGAGCCAGGAGCAATCTGCACCTGCTTTACAATGAAAAGGACACGAAGGTGAGCCAGACCCTTTTCCTACCTCCTTCACAGCTCCAGGCATTTTCCCCAATTCACATCATGTATTGGACCTGGACTGAGGTAGCAGCCAAGCACCAGCTAGGTTAGTGATCAGGAAGAGAATGGTGGAGCCTCTCTCCAGGTATGAACTTGCTCACACACTGTGCTCACTCTATAAGGCCTTGCTACAGGTGCTTCCTCTGAGGGAAGCTTGGAGGTTGGCAAAGAGGTGGCTGTCCCCCATAATTTAATTTAATGAAAACATTTATATGCCATCCTGTGCAGCAGCCTCAGGATGGCTTACAATATAAATAACAATATTATAAAGAGCATTAAAAACATTCTACAATAAGACAAATTAACCACAATATATCCTCTCCTAACTAAAGAATAGAAAGAAAAAAAAGGAAATGAAGATGAATGGAATGAACTTCCCAGCTATGCCACCCTGGCACAATATGGCTATCTTTTTCAGTGGCTGTCATGCCTGACACCCCGGCTGAGGCAGCACCTCACGAGGAGGATTTATGCTTGAAACCCGGAACCCAATGTCTCCTCCACAACCTAGCTTGGGAATGGCTGAACAGATGGCCATACCTCATCCTGACCCTTTACCCATTGAGCAAATAGTTGAGCCTACATCAAAGCAAGAGAGCTCCAAGGGAAAAGGCACTATGAGTTCTGCCTGAGGGCCTGAGCAGACTGCCCCCCTTCCTCCTGACACTGAACCTTCTGAGCACGACACAGGAGACACAGGAGGCAGAGCAGACCTTTTCCGC